GAAACGAGCCCCTGGAACCACTTCCGCTGTGTCCTCGCGTCTGGATTTCGAAACTAATCGGAATCTCGGTGGCCGGCGAAGGCAGTCAGATTGTCAGATTGGCGTTGCTCTTCTGTGTGAATCGATAAGTGATCGATATTGAGGCCGGGCGTGCTGGGGGAGAACGACGTTCTGGGGCTGCGCGCGCACACCCATCGCTGGAGCAGTGCGCGGGTGAGGAGAGGCTCGCAGCCCGGGCCACGCCCCCCGGGGCGGAGCTGCGCCCTCCAGGCCTGCACCCCGGCATCCCTGCATCCTTGCACGCCTGCACCCCTGCACCCCTGCATCCCTTCACCCCTGCAGCCCGCCTTCCTGCAGCCCTGCCTTGAAGGTTGGGTCCTGTTAACAAAGAGCAGGTGGGATCTGTTACTTTTTTTTTTCTCAGTCGGACAGTTTGCTACTTTATGTGGTGATTGTTTTCAATGCATTGTTTTGGTTATTGATGTATTTGGATTTCTTTCTTTTTTTTTTTTTTTAAGATTTTATTTATTTATTTGACAGACAGAGATCACAAGTAGGCAGAGAAGCAGACAGATAGAGGTGGAAGCAGGCTCCCTGCAGAGCACAGAGCCCGATGTGGGGCTCGATCCCAGGACACTAGGACCACGACCTGAGCCGAAGGCAGAGGCTTCAACCCACTGAGCCACCCAGATGCCCCATTTGGATTTCTTTCTAAAAATAAACTTAACTTTTTTTTAAAAGGGGCGCCTGGGTGGCTCAATCGATTAAGTGTCCCATTCTTTTTTTTTTTTTTTGAAAGATTTTATTTATTTATTTCACAAACAGAGCACAAGCAGGGGGAGCAGCGGAGGGAGAGGGCGAAGCAGGCTCTACGCAGAGTGGGGAGCCCGATGTGAGGCTCAATCCCAGAACCCTGGGTTCATGACGGGAGCGGAAGGCAGACACTTAACCATCCGAGCCACCCAGGCGTCCCTAAGTGTCCCATTCTTGATTTCGGCTGAGGTCTTGATCTCGGGGTCTTGGGATCAGGCCCACATGGGGCTCCCGGCTCAGCACAGAGTCAGCTTGTCCCTCTCCCTCTGCTTCTCTCCTCGTGCTGTCTCTCTCTCTCTCTCTCTCTCAAATATAAATACAATCTTTTAAAAAAAATTTAAAAATAAAATTTAAAAAAGAAAAATTTTTTTATTTAAATTCAATTTAATTAACATATAGAGTACTTTAGTTTCAGAGGTAGAATTCAGTGATTCATCAGCTGCATACAGCACCCCATGCTCATTCCATCATGTGCCTCCTTAATGCCCCTCCCCCAGTTACCCTGTGCCCCTCCAGCCACCGTTTCTTCCCTAGAGTTAAGAGTCAAAATAAACTCTATTTTGTTTTCTTTAAAAGATTTTATTTGTTTATTTGACAGACAGAGATCACAAGTAGGCAGAGAGAGAGGAGGAAGCAGGCTCCCCGCTGAGCAGAGAGCCCAATGCAAGGCTCGGTCCCAGGACCCCGAGCTCATGACCTGAGCCGAAGGCAGAGGCCTTAACCCACTGAGCCACTCAGCCGGCCCTGAAGGCAGACATTTAACTGACTGAGACTCCCAGGCGCCCCTAGGAGTGCATATATCCTTTTAAATTAGTGTTTTCTTTTCTTTGGATAGATACACAGTAGTGGAAATACTGGATCATAGGGTCCTTCTATTTTTTTTAATAGATTTTATTCATTTATTTGACAGAGATCACAAGTAGGCAGAGAGAGAGGAGGAAGCGGGCTCTCTGCTCAGCAGATGTGGGGCTCAATCCCAGGACCCCGGGATCATGACCTGAGCCGAAGGCAGAGGCTTTAACCCACTGAGCCACCCAGGCGCCCCTGGGTCCTTCTATTTTTAATCTCTTGAGCATCCTCCACACCGTTTTCCACAGTGGCTGCACGAGTTTGCATTCCCACCAACAGTGCAGAGCCGGGTTCCCCTTTTCCCATGTCCTCACCAGCACTTGTTATTTCTAGTGTTTTTGATTCCAGCCATTCTGACAGGTGAGGTACTAATCTCATTGTGGTTTTGATCTGCGTTTTCCTGATGATTAATGATACTGAGCATTTTTTCCTGTATCTGTTGACCATTTGTATGTTTTTTCCCTCTCTTTTCTTTTCTTTTCTTTTCTTTCTTTCTTTCTTTCTCTTTTTAAAGATTTATTTGTTTATTTGGGGCGGGGGGAGAGGAGCAGGGGAGAGGAAGAGGGAATCCTAAGCAGACTCCCTGCTAAGCACGGAGCCCCACTCGGGGCTCCGTCCCACCACCCGGAGATCATGACCCCAGCGGAAACCAGGAGGCGGACACTTAGCCGACTGTGCTCCAGGTGACCCCAGCGGAAACCAGGAGGCGGACACTTAGCCGACTGCGCTCCCAGGCGCGCCTGTGCGTTTTCTTCGTTTTTGTTCTTGTGAGGTGGGGTTACCTCACTGCTGCCCTCCAGTGTCCTCCTTAAGTAGCAGGTGTCAGGATTTCCTCCTTTCTGAGGCTGACTAGTAACAATTCCCTTGTATGTTGTATCAGGGCTCTCCAGGGAAACGGAACATACATACATACATGTGCGCGAAGTGTGTAGAGACGAGGAGATTGACTATAGGAATTGACCCATGGAGCTGTGGACGCCAAGATGTCCCACAGGCTGCACTGCGCAGGCTGGAGACCCGGACGACTGGTGGGGTGGTTCGGTCGGAGTCTGAAGCCCAGAGGGGCAGGAGCACAGATTTTTTTTTTTAAGATTTTATTTATTTATTTGAGAGACAGAGATCACAGTAGGCAGAGAGGCAGGCAGAGAGAGAGGGGGATGCAGGTTTCCCCGCTGAGCAGAGAGTCTGTTGCCGGGCTCAATCCCAGGACCCTGAGATCATGACCTGAGCTGAAGGCAGAGGCTTTAACCCACTGAGCCACCCAGGCGCCCCAGGAGCACAGATTTCTGATGGCCAGAGAAGATAGACATTCCACTCAGGCGGAGAGTAAACTCATAAACTCATTCTTCCTCTGCCCTTTTCCGTTGTACCTGGGCCATCAGCAGATTAGACAATGCCTGCCTCAGTGAGGATGCTCTTCCTTACTCAGTTTCTGGAATCAGAGGCTCATCTCTTGCAAGGACGCTCTCACAGACACGTGCAGAAGTAATGTTTAGGGAGCCTCAGTCGGGTCAAGCTGGCGCCTGCCATATACGCGGCATATTCGTACACAACGTTTTGTCTCCCCACCTGCCCGCTGCTGTGCCTTTGCGTTGTTTCTACCTTTTACGTGTTGTGGTGACGCCCCACGAGCGCGGCTGCGTGGTGTCTGGTCGGGACTCCGCTCTTCAGTTCTTTTAGGTACAGACGTGGAATTGCAACTGCTGGGTCATGTGGCCGTTCCGTGCCTACTTTCTGGAGGATTTCCCCGGCTGTTTCCCACGGCAGGCGTAGCGTCCACACTCCCACCAGCTGTGCGCGGGGGCCCGATTTCTCCACATCTGCCCTGACACTTGTTTTCTGTTTATTTGATTGTGGCCATAACGGGTGTGAAATGATAGATGATTGCGCTTTCGACTTGCATTTTCCCGGCGATCTGTGATGTGGAGCATCTTTTCTTGTGTTTCTTTGCCACGTGTGTATCTTTTTTGGTAAAATATTCAAGTCCTTCGCTCACTTCTGAATTGGGTTGTTTATTTTGTTGTGAGCTGTAGGAATTCTTTACATATTCTGGATATGAATTGCTTATCGGGATGCCTGCGTGGCTCTGGCTCCCGTTGTCCCAGCGTTGGCCCCCGAGAGCGCTGTCAGGCGGCTGGGTTTACTTTGATGACATTACTTGCTGCTTTTCTTAGGCTTCTGTCTTCTTTCTGGTGTTCTGTTGGGTTCATTACATTTTCTTTATTCTTTCATTCCTCCACAGATATGGAAGTTATACAACCCATTTCTGGTACTTTAGTGGTTGCCTTAAAGTCTTGCACAGACTTCGATCTCCAGCAGCAGCTCTGGCCGTCCCTGAGCTCTGCGGGGACCTCACACCTGCGCGCCATCTCATCTGCTACGGTCGCTGGTCTAGAGCTGGGGTTTGCTTTACCCCTTGTCCAGGCTGGGCTCGAGCAGACCCTGAAACAAAGACTCACGACTAGGACATGGAATTTTTCTTGGGATCGTAGGAGCTACGATGTTGAGGGTGGGAAGGGGTAGTCCCGGGCTGAGCGGGTGACGCTGCGGACAGCGGACGGGGCTCAGCACACTAGGACCCTGACCGTGTCGCGGGTGCAGCGCCGTTGCTGGTGGGCGAGGAGGCCGCTGTGGGCGCCACACAGAGTGCGGGTCTCAGACCGTGGCCTGCCCTGCGCTGGTTTAGGACGTCTCAGGCGGAAGCTGCCGGAAGAGGGGCAGCCATGCGAACCACTGCTATGGGCAGAGTCTCCCGCCTCCCACGGCTCCCCTCAAGGGAGCCGCTGGGGCTGCCTGTGCTCCCCCAGCTCCTGCCAGCTCAGCCCATCGGTCCGTTCAACCTTCGCTGTCCTTGAGCTGTCACGCCCAGCAGGGTTATGCTGCCACTTACCCCTGGTTGTCAGGCCTAGTGGCTAGGAGGGAGGTGGAGGTCCTGACGGGGACAGTGTTGTCCGGGGGTGGGGTGGGGTGAGGAGGCCTCAGAAGTCTATTTCCGCTGAGGTTGGGGGTGCGGCTCTTCCCAGGGAGAGGTGAGCAAACCCTGCGGGTGCAGAAAGTTTAGACGGGTCTGGGTCTTAGAACTGAGGGGACAGCCCCCTGATGGCCAGGTCGCAGCTTTCCCTAGCAGGGTCCTGCCAGCAGGTCAGGTGCTGGAGCTGCCGCCTGGTCTCTGGTCCTCCTCCTGCCCAGTCCAGGATGGTGACCACTGCAGCAGGTGAACCCCCAAGAAGGAGTGTGTGCCTGTCCCCAGTGGTGCCCTGTTGCAGCCGGCCGGTGAGGAATCCATCTCTAAAACTCCTTTCAGTTGTACGTTGGGTCCTACAGAAGCTGACCCCGAGATGGAGTTTGGGTACAAGCTGTGTGCAAGGGGTCAACCCCAGAGACAGGGTGGGGGGCAGGATCAGGCAGAGGGAAGGCCAGCTGTGCTGCCCGAAGCCTCAGGCCAGCCACGGGACTCAGGCCGCGTGAAATTACCCCTTCAGAAGTTCTACCTGGGGCCACAGCGGCAGGTGAGCTGGGTCTGCACTGGAAGGGTGGAGGCCATGTGCTGGCATCTCACTGGGGACTCCCAGTGCCAGTGTCTATGGGTTTCCAGTCTCTTCCTGGGAGGAGTCCCTGGGGAGGCCCTTGCTGGTAGGGAGGGTCTGGGATCGCTTTGTTGCCCACGCAGCCTTTCACTACACCCTGGCCTGTGTTTCCACTCTGTGAGTTCAGCTGCTCTCTGCGGGGGCCCACGCCTCCTTCCAGACCCGCCACAGGAAGTTCCATGTGCCCTGCAGTTGGGAGGGTGGTCCCGGGGGCCCAGACATGGATGCCCAGGTTCTTGGAGTGTAGCGCCTTTAGTGGCCTCTGTGTCAGTCAGAATCTCCAGGAAAATGGGCCAACGGGAGTGAGAGGGAGAGAGTGAGGGAAAGAGGTTGATTTATTTTAAGGCATTGGCTCCCTTTGTGGCGATTGTGGGGCTGGTGAGTTGAGAGGGCTGAGACCCGGGGAGGAGCTGATGTTCCAGTTCGATCCCAGTGGCCCTCTGAAGCCGAATTCCCTCCTCCTCTGGGGAGCTTACTCTTTTTCTCTCGAGGTCTTCAACTGATTGGGTGAGGCCCACCCACATCGTGAGAGTCATTTGCTAAATGCAAAGTCTACTGATTTAAATGTTAATCACATCAGGGGCGCTTGGGTGGCTCAGTCGGTTAAGTGGCTGCCTTTAGCCCAGGTCATGATCCTGGGGTCCTGGAATCAAGACCTGCATTGGGCTCCCTGCTCCTTGGGGAGCCTGCTTCTTCCTCTCCCCCTGCCTGCCACTCCTCCTGCTTGTGCTCTCTCTCTCTGTGTCAAATATATAATAAAATATTTTTAAAGGATAAATGAATGTTAATCACATCTAAAACCTTCATGCAGACTACATTCAGTGCAGCATTAATCACAGTAACAAAGAAGTGACAGCGACCTGACTTTCCACGGACAAGCAAGCAGATAAACAAACTGTGGTCGTCCCGCCCAGGGGCATATTTATTCTACCTTAAAAAGGAGGAGTGCTTGGGCACCTGGGGGGCTCTGTCAGTTAGGCATCTGACTCTTGATTTCAGCTCAGGTCACGATCTCAGGGTTGTGAGATCGAGCCTTATGTAGGGCTCTGCACTGGGCAGGGAGCCTGCTTAAGATGCTTTCTCTCTTGCTCCCTCTGCCCCTCCCCCCTCTAAAAAAATAGGAGGAAGTGCTGACACCTGCTAGAGCATAGAGGGACCTTGGGGACATCATGTTCAGTGACCTAAGCCAGTCCACAAGGACAAAACCTGTATAAGTCCCCTTCTAGGCAGGAATGGTATCCATGGGGGAAGAGTTGATGGTGGGCACCAGGGGCTGGGGGGTGGGCGTTTAATGGGGAGTTTCGGTTTGGGAAGATGGAAAGTTTCGGAGACGGACGGTTGTACAACAGTGTGACTGTGCTCCATGCTCCTGAGTGTGCACTCACAAGTGGTTAGGATTGTCAATTTTATATGCGTTTTTTTTTAACCACAAATTAAAAAAGAAGACTGTGGTATGTAACAGATGTTCAGTAAATGTCAGCTCCCCCTGAGTAATATTTCATGTTGATTTCACCACCGTAATCAATAAATTATGAGAACAAACCCTTCGTGTGGACATTAGACTAGTACCTGCGCCGGAGTCCGGGCTCTGCCGTCCAGCTGGACGCATGAGGTCAGCTCTCCTGCCCGCTTTCTCCTCAGCCCCCACCCTGCCTCGCCGCAGTGGCCCGCTGGCTTCCTGCCTTACATGGGGTGCTCTGGGCTTGTAGATGGGACCAGTTTATTGAAATGTTTCCAACTCCTGTTCTAGTTTGAAGTTTTCAAGCAAAGGGAGCGGGACACAAAGCCTGAAACCAGGCACAGAGAGCAGCCAGGGCAAAGGCCGTGGACCACCCCGCAGACCCGGAGCCGGCGTCCCCTTCCACCCCGGCCCCTGGGCCCTCCGGCCTTGTGCCTGCTGCAGCCCTCCTGTTGGTCAGCACAAATCCCGCGGCCTCAGCAGCTGGCCTGGGCCTCTGTGGGGAGCGTCTGGGAGGCAGGGATGGAAGGCGTCCCCTCAACCCGCGAGCCTCCAAGCCCTGTGGCCGGGCGGGTGGGTCTTGCGCTCCATGCCAGGGTGGGAGCCAGGAGGCCCTCGGGGGAGGTGAGGGTCGGTGTGTGTGTCTGAGGGCTGAGCGCGCCTGTGGAGCTGTGTGTGTGCTCTTCTGTCAGCCTGTCACGGAGCGGCCTGGCCGTGAGGCTCCCTCGGGAGCCAGCTCTGCTCTTCTGAGTGGAAGGGAGGGTCAGGTTTCTCTGAGAAACCCCAGAATAGCCCCTGGCTGCTCAGGGGAAACCTGGTCTGGCCCCTGGTAGCCAGTCTGGCCCCTGGTCCTGCCCGCCTCACCCCCTCTCACCCCCACCCCGTGCCCAGCTGTCTGCCCCCCCCCGCCAGCCCCCGAGTGCAGACTAGCAGCCCCTTCTGCACAGGGCGGCCAGGCCAGGAGATGCACTTGTTCCCTCGGCCTGTTTCTAGAGACTGCCTACAAGCACTGGGCCCACAGGAATTGGGGGTGTCACGGGGCCAGGGTGGGCATTCAGAAGGAACACTCACACGGGAGGACCCCTGTGTGAGGGTCCCGTGGCAGAACGGTGGAAGGGTAGCCAATGTGGGAAAGGAGATTCGAGGAGGGTGACACGGTGAAAAGGAAACAGCAACGGGCAAATGCGTGTATACTCTGGGCCTCCCCGGCCACCCGTCAGCCCCTTTCCTGCCCTTGGTCCTCAGCCCGTGGTGTCTATCTGGGCTTTGGCTCCAGACACTGAGGCTGGGGCAGGGGCCTTAGCTGGGACCTAGGGTCCGGGAGGGAGCTTCAGGGTGAGGGGGTGTTCAGGCCAAGGAGGGCCAGAAAGGGGCCAGGTGGAGAAGGGCCGAGCCTGTCCCAAAATAGGGCCGCGGGACCTCCTGGCCATACAAGGATCTTGGAATCTGCCCTCTGGGGACCCCGGCAGCCGGGCCCGGCTAGAACGCAGCTGACACTTCTACCGTCGCCTCTGGCGCCACCGCAGTGCTCTCCCAGCCGGCCGCAGACATGGTAGGCAGCTCCCGGCACCCGGCGGGGTCCCTGGTGGGCTGGCTCGGTGATGGAGCGGGAGCTGGGAGCCGTGACCAGGAGGAGAGAGGACGGGACGGGGCTTCCAAGCACAGGCACCCGAGGGTGTGAGTGCCTCTCAGGGAATCGAGGGAGCAGTTCGGCAAGGCTGGAGGGAGAGGGAGGAGGGGGTGCTGAGCCCTGCTGGCTGCTGATGCGACTGTCGCTCTGGTGGCCCGGGGACAGGGGCGCCCTTTTGAAAGCTGCCATGACAGTGGAGGCGGGGGAAGCCAGGGGCTAGACTATGGACAGAAACACCACAACAGGCTGGGGTCCTTCACCCTGACCTGGGTCAGGCCCCCCCCACGGCACCCTTCACCAGCCCCAGAGACTGGGTTCACCTGACACTCCACCACATGGCCGGCCTGAGCCTTGGTGTCTCACACAGGCCTCTGGCTCTCGGGTCCTTCCCCTGAGGCCGCCTGACAGAGTCCCGCTCACTGCTGGCGACCCTCCCCAGTGCCACCTTGTTTGGAAGCACCCTGGGCTGCGGGCGAGGGGGACTCCTTCTTTAACCCCACGCCCTGCAGGGTTGCCAGGTGGAGGGACAGGCAGGGTGCCACGTGTGCTGGGACCTCCACCTGCCTCGGACCGAGGGGCAGAGGCGGCCCTGGTGCAGGCCGGTGTCCTTGCAGACAGAGCGCCTGACAGCTGAGCAGATCAAGGAGTACAAGGGGGTCTTTGAGATGTTCGACGAGGAAGGCAACGGGGAGGTGAAGACCGGAGAGCTGGGGCGCCTCATGAGCCTGCTGGACATCAACCCCACCAAGAGTGAGCTGGCCTCCATGGCCAAGGACGTGGACAGAGACAGTGAGGCCGGGCAGGGACAGGCCTGGGTGGGGGGCCGCCCGTGGGTACGAGCAGGGAGGGCCGCACCGGCTCGCCCTCACGCTGCCCGGCCTGCTGCTTGCTCCCTGCAGACAAAGGATTCTTCAACTGTGACAGCTTCCTGGCCCTGATGGGGATTTACTGGGAGAAGGCCCAGAACCAGGAGGGCGAGCTGAGGGCAGCATTCCGTGTCTTCGACAAGGAGGGCAAGGGCTACATCGACTGGAACACGCTCAAGTAGGGCCTGGAGCTGGACAGGGGGTGGGTGAGGGCCAGAACCCTGTGGGCTGCCACTCAGTGTGGGGGCCCTGCAGGTACGTGCTCATGAACGCAGGTGAGCCCCTCAATGAGGCAGAGGCTGAGCAGATGATGAAGGAGGCCGACAAGGACGGGGATGGGACCATTGACTATGAGGGTGAGTGAGGGATGGGCCTGGGAGCCGGGTGCCCAGGCCAGGCTGCTGGCTGACCTGTGCTTCTGCTCCCAGAGTTTGTGGCCATGATGACCGGAGAGTCCTTCAAGCTGGTCCAGTGAGCAGGTGCTGTGGCCCTGGGAGGCCTGCCTGAAGGCCACTGCCTGCTGCCGCCCACACTGCCGCTCAGCCCACCCTGCCCCCCTCTGGCCAATAAACACTCCAGCCGTACAAATGCGTGTTTCACTGTCCCTATGTAGCCCAGAAAGGAGGGGCTGGCAAAGATTTGGGACTGGAGAAAGGAGAGGGTTTTCCTCAGGCAGCCATGGCTCAGGGCCCATCACTCCTGCTGTGACGTCTGGCACCACCCACTGCCCAGGCTCTGGACACCAACCTGAAAGCCAGACTGGGTACAGGTCGAAGCCTACCCCGGCCCCTCTGCCTGCACCAGGGAGTGGCGGGGTGGCTACTCACAGGCCCCTCCCAGAGCCTTTTCCTACAGGTGGAGATCACTTACGTACAAACTTTATTCTCTCCAAAAAGCTGGGGGTGTCACAGCCAGCTCCGAGGCTCAGGCCTGTGGGGTCAGGGCTGAACGCAGCAGCCCCCGTGTGCATGCCCAAGTGTGGGTTCATGTGTGCGGCCAACACAGGGCCAGCTGGCCGGGCGGCCTGGCGTTACACAGCAACAAGGCCAACCAAGGCTACAGCAATGTGCTGGACGGGCTGACCTTCCCTGGGGAAGGGCGGTAGGGGTGTGCTGGGCGGGTCCCTTCTGAGCACAAGGTGGCTGGCACAACTGGGAGGTTCAGGAGAGTTTTCCTCTGCTTTTGAGGGTGCCAGGACGACAGCCAGGGCTGCTAGGGCATTGGAGCCGGCTCCTGGAGCCCCGCTGATGTCTCTAGGCCTCAGGCCCCAGGGGGAGACGGGGTTACTGAGAGGTCGGTGGCTCTTCCTGTCTGGGTCTGGCCATCTTGACAACCTCTTCATAGGAGGGTGGCAGCTCAGGGGCATACAGGCTGTAGGCAGGAGGGGTCATGGAGTCGAGGTCCAGGTCCCCAGAGGGAAGGGGCAGCCGCACGCCCAGCGGGCACTGCACAGAGCTGTAAGCTGCAGGGAACCAGAGTGCGTTTGCGGGGACGAGTCTGCCCTCACCTGCCCCTGCTCCCCCTGCAGGTGGGCAAGCCAAGGGAGGTCTGCAGGTACTCACAGGTCACAGTGCTGTGCACAGGGCTGTCACTGCCCACAGGGCTGACCGTCAGGTCGCAAGGCTGAGGTGTTGGTGGCAGGTGTGGCCGGCTGTGTACCCGTTTCCGGAGGCAGCAGAACCGGACACAGCTGGCTGTGACCCCACACAGCAGCAGCAGCAGGACAGCGAGTAAGATAAGCCTGTGCAGGGAGGAGCAAGACCCTGCCACTGGACTAACCCCTGGCCACTGGGCACCCGCTCCCCAGGGGCAGTCGTGGCCGACCACCCACGACAGGACAACGGGCAGGATAAAAGAAAACCAAAGAATGTCTCTGCAGGCCAGAGACCTCCTTCCAGGCCAGAGCTGGGCCTGAGGAGCCGGCTAGTCCCTGGCACCCTGCTGCGGGGCCTGCCCTGGCTCTCTCCAGGGCTGGCCACAAGTATCTTGGGCTCACTCCCAGGACACACTGTCCCAGGCCATCTGCACAGTCCTGTGCCCAAACCAATGACCATATTCACAGGGGCCTCCTGCAGGGGTGAGGAAGGAGGGGGTGGGAAGTGGATAAGCAGGCCATGAAGGGAAGTCCCGCCAAGGGCCTGGGTGCCCAGAGCAGTCCCGGACTGGGGTAGGGCCCACAAGAGAGGCCGCCCTGGTGCTGGGGGCAGGAGGCAGGGGTCAGCCTGGGAGGCTGCTGAGGGCCCCAGCGCCTTCCCATCAGCGTCGGGAAGGGGGCAGCGCCGGCGCCTCCTCGTCCGTGGAGCTAGGAGGGGTGGGGGTCTGGTGGGCCTGGCCAGGGGCGAGCGCCGCGGCCTCCACTTACCCCACGTGCCACAGGCTGCTCCAGCGGGCCTGGGGCGGGCACCTGCGGGGACGGCGACACCTGGAGCAGGCGGGGCACCAGCCGGGCCGACGGCCCCGTCCGAGCCTCCCCCACAGGGCGGGGCCAGGCCCCGGCTCCCACCCCCCGACTTACAGGTCCGAGGGGTCGCAGCTGCCGTCCGCGAAGCCCAGCGCCACCTGTGGGGACAGGGGTGAGCCCGGGCCGGGGCGTGCCGAGCGCAGACCCGCCCCGCAGTGCCCGAGCCGAGCGCCGGCGACCCACCTGCGGCAGCGGCAGGAGCGGCGGCAGCAGCAGGAGCGCCCGGGAGGCCGACGCCCCCACCACCATGCTCGGCGCCGACGGGGAGCGGGTGCCCGCCCGCCACGCCGCTTTATGGAGACCCCGCCCCACAAGCCCCGCCCCGAGCGCTTGGCCACGCCCAGCGCCCCGCCCGTCGGAGGCCGGTCCCGCGGCCACACCCCGGATCCCCTGGCCCGAAGCCCCGCCCCAGAGGTACCGCCTCTCGAAGCCACGCCCAGCGAGAGAGCCCCGCCCCACGGCCCCGCCCTCCACGCCGGTCCACCGCGTGGGCGCGCTTGGGGTCTCCGGGCGGAGGGAGGGGCGTGTTGCCCTCGGCCAGCGCGCAGAGCCGGATCCCGGCCGGGCCAGGCCTGTCGTGCAGAGAGGCTCGGTGCGCCCGGGCTGCACGGGGTGTGGCCTCGAAGTGCGGTGGCGCTCACCCTCGCGGCGCTCAAGGTCAAGGGTGCGACGGTGAGGGTCGGGGGCGCTCCCAGCCTGGTGCTCGGCGGCATTTACTTGGCTCGCGTGCGCGGGTGCCGACTGCCTGGGGCTGCCTGGGGCCGGGCGCGGGCCCACCGGAGTCGGGGGCGGACCCATGCGGCGCTAACCACCTTTCCAGATCCCTCGCCTTCAAACACTTGCCCAAGCTGGGGCGTGTCGCCTCTGTGGTCCCCGGGCCTGGGGTCACAGAATGACTGCTGTCCATTCTGCGAGGAAAGCCTGGGGGTCGTTTCTCCCCCACCGCTCTTCTCACCAGGCTAGCGGCCCTGGGAGCTTGCGACCCTCTGGCCTCTACTCCACCATCTGGCGGTCAGGCTAAGTGAGGGGTCAGCACTGCACGGTGCAGGGTGGCCGGCCTTGTCTGGCCAGGGCGAGGAGCCGCTACCCTTGACCTGTCTTTTTTTTTTCTTCTTCTTTTTTTTTTAAACGTTCGTCTATTTCAGAGAGCCAGTGCACTCATGAGCATGAGCAGAGGGCGGAGGAGAAGGAGAGCAGCTGACTCGCTGTGGGCTTGGACCCTGCCCTAGATCTTGACCTGCGCCAAAAGCAGAGTCAGTGGCTTAACCAGCCACCCAGGCGCCCTGACCTCTTCCTTCCCTTCCCTCCATTTCTCCCTCCCTCCCTCCCTTCCTCTCTCCCTCTAAGTTTGTATTTATTTGAGAGAGAGAGAGCAGGAGCAAGAGAGCCCATGCAGGAGGGCGGAGGGAGAGGGAGACGCAGACTCCCAGATGAGCAGGGAGTCCGACGTGGGGCCCAATCCCAGGACGCTGGGATCATGACCCCAGCGGAAGGCAGACGCTTATCCATCTCAGCCACCGAGGTGTCCTGACCTGTCTTTCTTAGCTTGGGTCTTCCGCCTGGATCTACCAGGCACTTGCTCTTTGATCTCGCTTGATCTTTGCCCGGGCTTTGCCCTGAAGCTGTTCTGCACCTCCTGGATATGCCATGGCAGCCCAGAGCCCCTTCTGCCCACTGTGCTCCATCCAGGCTGGCTGAGCTTGGTTCCTGGTCATCCTTCCTCCTCCTCCCTCTTGCCTTTACTGGGTGGGAAGGAGGAGGATGGACAGAAGTCCAGCCAGTGCCCAGGAGCTCAGGCAGGGCCTCGGCCAGTGAGTACCAGGGCCTGTTAGCAGGAGAGTGAGGCCAGGGTTTAGGAGAGGGGCCTGCCTCTCTTGCCCACCAGCCAGAAGAGGAGGCAGGGACCATGCCCTGCAGGAGCGCCTCCTCCTGGGGCCTGGGTTTGGCCTGGGGTGCTGGAGCTTGCCTTCGCCTCTCATCTGGTGAGAAAGGCTTGGGCTATGGCTGGCCAGCACCAGGAGGGCACAGACAGAAATCCTGCAAAACTCCACTCTAGGGTCACTGTCACTGGCCTCGGGTTAGGGAGAGGGCAGTCTTTTAGGCATGAAGGGCACCAAGAAACTAGGGTTAGGACGGTGGCTCCAGGCTGGTGTCCTGAAGTCTGTGCCCAGGAGAGCCCCCAGATGCATCACACCCTCCTTGCCTGCTACGGAAAGTTGCATGTTCTCTCCTGCTGCAGGCAGGCACGGGCCTGGGGTTCGTGGGCTGGGCATGCTGTGTATGGAGGGGCCAGACTGGGTGGGCTCTGTGGGGACAGTGTCTAACCAGCACTCTCCAGAAGGCAGGGGCTGGGGCAAGGGCACATTCTGAGCTCCCAGGAGTGCAGTATGGCCTGTGGGGAACTCTACCTTGAAGGACCTGTTGGAGCCCAGAAGGCTGAGCCTGGACTCTGTACAGAAAAATGGAAAACATAACTCATGCTCTGGGCCCCACTCTGGACTCCAGCGAGACACTGAGGGACACCCTGAGCATGAGGGCCACACATTTGCTCCCTCCTTCCTTAGGGTCATCAGAGATCCTGACACTTGGGAGGGACAGAGAATCCTAAAGGGTGCCCTGGCTTTGGAGCCTCCTATACCCTTCCCCATTTTACAGGGCCTCTCTGGGTCTGGGCCTGTCTCACCTTCAGCCTGTGTCCCCAGCACCCTGCCTTGCCAGTGGTTCCCCAGTGAGCCAGGGCAGGGTTCGTCGCTTATGGACCAATTTGTGTGTGTGGGTGTGGGGGTCTAGGAGGCAGGCGCTGCCTCCCCAGGGCTCTGTCCCCATCTCTGATCTGGTGCGCATCCCACACTTCAGGCCTATAGGAAGAAGCCCAGAAGGTTTATTCACAGACCTGTGGGGGCAGCTCTTCCCCCAACCAGCGCTTCTAAAAGCCTGGGGGGGGGGGCAAGGGGCCCAGGGCAGTAGGAAGTGGCCATGCCTGTGGGGTGGGGCGCCCTGGCCATAGGGTCACACAGAGCGCTGCACGTTTGAA